CTTCCGTCCTTCCTTCCTGCCTTCCTTCCTTCCTTCCTTCCTTCCTTCCTTCCTTCCTTCCTTCCTTCCTTCCTTCCTTCCCTCCCTCCCAAACAGGCCCGCCTCCTCCTTTTGTACTCCTCCTGCCCCCATAATTTCCACCCGGGCCTAACCCCACTCCCCAAGCCAGAATCCGCAGAATCCTTTGCAAATTGACAGGGGGGAACTTGGAGAAGCCCAGACCGGGGCTTGGGGGCGAGAGAGGGGCCCGCACGTTTCTTTGCCCCAGGATCGCTCGAAATAGTTCCAGCTTCCGCTGTGGGGAGAGGGGAAACGGAGGCGGGCTTGTGAATGGGGAAGGAGTTCTGTTTTGGATCCCGAATCGCCCCCCCCCCCCATCCATCCTCAAGTAATGCAGGCCGAAGGCCGGCCGCAAGTCCCTAGGCCTGGCTCAGTTCTCGGCCTTGGAGTCCGCCTGAATTTTGTCGGGGACGGAAAGGACAACTGGGGGGGGGGGGGGGGTGGGGGGGGGGGGCTGGCTCCCGGAGCCGGCTGCCACGGCGGCACCTTCTCCTTCTCCTGGCCAAAGGCAAGGCCCTGGAGAGCGCAAGGACGAACTAGGCCTGGCGGCCAGAAACCACCGAGGGGGGCGGCCCGAGAGCCAAGCCAAGCCAAGCCGGCCCAGCCCCATGGCTCGGGCGGCGGAAACGGGCCCTGCGGTTCTGAAAGCAGCTGTCGGGGTGGTGGATCTGAGGCCTGCCCTCCGGCACCCCCAGAGAGCCCTGGGCTTCCAAAACAGAACCACAAACGGCAGTCTGGAGAGGGAATGCGGCGCCTGGCTCACCCTCACCCGGTTCTTAGCGGAACCAAGCAAGCAAAAATGCCCCTCCAGGCCCAAACGACGGGTGCGCGCGCGGTAGGGCGAAGGCCCACGCCTGGGCCCGCCGATACCGAACGGGTGCAACCCGCCACTGGAGGCGGCCTGGGAGGCCGGACTCGCCGAGGGACAAAAGCAAAGTAAGGACGAACGGAAAGTTTCGAGCCCTCGGGGCTCCACCAACAAAACCAAAGAATCTGAAAACACACACACACGCACACAACACCCCCATACACACACGCACCCCCCAGCCTGGGGACCCGCCCATCTCCGTTGGTTTTCACCCCGGCGCGATTCCTCTGTGCTTTGGGACCAACCACGCTCTGGTGCCAGACACCCTCAAGGTCCAAGATGCTAAGACGATTCTGATAGCTGATAACACCTCGTGTATGACTCCTAAGGTCCCGATGCTCACCGTTTTAGTGTCCTTTCCTACGCGGAACATCTATAGAGTGTTAAGACAAGGTTTGTGCCTGTTACGTTTTGTCTTTGGAGCGGCTCTGAATTTATGATAACATCTCCAAGAATACTGTGCTGTGTTATGCTTTGGGGAAAAAATTAATAGAATTTTAATTTGTTTAAAAAAACGCCAAGACGGGTCGCCGCCGGGTCAGTCTGCCCGCAGCAGCAGACGAGCGCCAGAGTCCAGGGGCACCTTAAAGTCTAACCCAAATCGGTTCGCTTTGCAGGGTCACTGCAGCGCCTTCTCCAGAGAAATGCCCAAGCCTGCGTCTTTGGGACCCGGGGAGCGCCGCTTCAAAACGCATCTCCAGAGGGACGTGTGTCTCTGTGTGTGTACTTCATTTACGGGGGCGTTTGTTTCCAGAGTTGGCCCCAGTGTTCCCTCTAAGCTGAGAGTGTGTGACCCAGCTCACAGTGTTTTAGCCCCCAGCGCGCACGTTCTTGTCTCCGCTCGGGAAGGAGGGCTCCAGAGCAGACTGATTTACGCAGTCTTTATTTATTTCTTATTTCCAGTTTCTATCCCGCCTTGCCGGGGACCTAGAAGCCAAATGGCTCGCTCTCAGCTTTAATGCCAGGAGCTCACAAAGTGGGATTTTTGCTCACAGGACTCCACGGCTTAGAGGGAGCACTGGGGGGGGCTGACTGGGGGTGGGGGGCGCGAGGGTCCCTCTCCGGCCTGCAGCCGAGCCC